ACACTAGGTAACACAGCACCAGGCATTGACGCACTAGGTAAGGAAGCACCAGGCATTGACACACTAGGTAAAGGCACCAGACGTTGACACACTGGGTAAAGAAGCACCGGGCGTTGACACGCACTGCGATGAAACGGCGTTGACACTAGGTAAGGAAGCACCGGGCGTTGACACACTAGGTAAAGGAAACCAGACGTTGACACACTAGGGGGCACCAGGCGTTGACACACTAGGCACCAATTGACCACACTGGGAAGCACCAGGCGTTGACACACTCGTGGCAGGCATTGCCTAGGTAACACAGCACCAGACGTTGACACACACTAGGTGGAGAGATTTTGAGTAATGGATCGCGTGGTAAGAGAGAGACATAACAAATTCTGGCGGCTCTAGATATAATAATGTTATCCAGGGCAAGAGAGAGAGAGAGAGAGAGAGAGAGAGAGAGAGAGAGAGAGAGAGAGAGAGAGAGAGAGAGAGCAGCAGTAATCAAATTAAATTATAATTAAAAACATTCCTTAATATCCTATAAGGCTCTCAACTTCCTCTTAACAACACGACATAAGAAACTACTCACTGGAAGATCCCAAATCGAGAGAGGAAGAAGAGGAGAAGGAAGAGGAGGAAGGAGAAGAAGAGGAGGAGAAGAGAAGAGAAGAGAAGAGAAGAGGCCGACTCGTCATACCAAATCAAGAATGGATTTTTTTTTTTTAGTCTGTTGTTGTTTTGACACATTGTTTTAACCTTGAATATTATTGTTTTTTGGTATATACATTTTGTTCTAGACTCTATTGTTAAAGGTTTAGGTAAGAAAGTTGTACTACCTGTGCTAGTTAATTAGTTTTATTAGATATGACTGTTAGAAATAGTTTAATCTTGATCTAAATTAATGAAGGTTAGGTTAGGTTAATTATATTTAACTTATATGGCGATTAACTAGTACCTGATTGTCTTTATGTATACAACTGTTTCATCTCTTGGAAAATGTCTGTCTGTCTGTCTGTCTGTTTGTGCATGTATGTATGTCTGTGTTTACGTCTCTCTCTCTCTCTCTCTCTCTCTCTCTCTCTCTCTCTCTCTCTCTCTCTCCCTCTCTCTCTCTCTCTCTCTCCCTCTCTCTCTCTCTCTCTCTCTCTCTCTCTGTACTATTCATAAACACACACACACACACACACACACACGTAACAGGTGAGGCCATTACTGCAATATACACACAGAGGAAGTAGGAGGTAATGTAATCAACTCGGCAGTAAAGCAGTATCGTATATAGCATGTGTAGTGTGTGTCGACAACCTCCTCTCTCTCTCGGGACGTACATTACCAGTATGTTACAGGTCTTGGTGCTGTATCTAACATGGCCTAGACTCGTCGTATGTATGTTTGTATATGTGAGTTATTTGTTATTGTTTTCTGTTTCACAAGAGATATAGATTAGGTTATTATTTATATCAATCACCACAATAGGCATAGATTGGTTTACTGTTTACATGAAATCACCACAACAACAGATCAGTTTACCGTTTACATCAATCACCACAACAACAGATCAGTTTACCGTTTACATCAATCACCACAACAACAGATCAGTTTACCGTTTACATCAATCACCACAACAACAGATCAGTTTACCGTTTACATCAATCACCACAACAACAGATCAGTTTACCGTTTACATCAATCACCACAACAAATAAACAGGAATATAAATTTACCTGCTCTATATTTACAGGTAATTTATCTCACAGTTTTCCGCTGTTATGTGTCTGATAATTTTTTCCCTCTGACTCACGGTAAATAATTATACTCCTCTTTGATGGTGTGTAAAAATCGGCGGCTTAACTACAGAGAGACTTAGTTGTTTATAATGAATACTGGGAACGAGTTTAGCCGCGTGGAACAAAAATAATGTAAAACACAAAAGCGACATGACAAACACACACACACACACACACACACACACACACACAGAAATACCTTGTCTAAATCGCAGCAGAAGTTTTAATTCCAGGGCCTGTCGCCAGCACCACCATCCTCACCTACCCTTACTGTCTGCCACCCTCACCGTCTGCCGTCACCTCCATCCTCACCTACCCCCACCGCCTGCCGCCCCCACCGTCTGCCGCCACCACCATCCTCACCTACCCCCACCGTCTGCCACCCCCACCGTCTGCCGCCCCCATCGTCTGCCGCCCACGCCTCACAAGAATTAGTGTTACAGCTCATACCATTGGTGCTCTGTTCTCGGAAAACTGAGATCAAGATCTATATTTCCCCCGACGGTCACAAACAAGGCTATTGACCCCCGAGTGTGTCACTGAGTGTGTCTGAGTGTGTCTGAAGTATCTGATTCGACTGGCATCTAACACACACTTCAACCAATAGTGCAGTATTGGTAATATATACAGATACATACACACACACAAATATACGTACATATACATACACACATATACATATACGTACATATACATACACACATATGTAATGTTTGTTCCCGCAAGATGTGCATACACGAAAGCGTTTGAGGCGTTTGTGTTTCATTTTATAATAATAATAATAATAATAATAATAATAATTGACGGTTTATTGAAAAAGTTCTGCAGCCCGAAGGCTGAAAATATACATTGGACATAAATGACTTATTACATACATTGGTGGTATAACAAAAGCCTTCATTAGTGAAAGGTAAAGGAACATACAGTGAACATACAAATGAATATAGGTGTTGAACAGCAAACACGTAGTGTAGTAACTCCCTCCCAGATGGTGTTAGGAGGGACCTCACGTGGTGTAGTAGTTCCCTCACAGATGGTGTTATGAGGGACCTCACGTGGTGTAGTAATTCCCTCACAGATGGTTTTATGAGGGACCTGACGTGGTGTAGTAATTCTCTTACAGATGGTGTTATGAGGGGCATCACGTGGTGTAGTAATTCCCTCACACATGGTGTTATGAGGGGCATCACGTGGTGTAGTAATTCCCTCACAGATGGTGCTATGAGGGGCATCACGTGGTGTAGTAATTCCCTCACAGATGGTGTTATATGAGTAACGTGTGGTCCCAGGCCTTCCTATCATAGACGGATTAACACATCGCTGGTTGTTGTTGGGTCTCACTGGGACCTCACTGTGTGAAGCTTAACTTGGGTACGACTCGGCTGTTACTGTTGAGTTGTTCTTACTGACTTAAGCACTATTCACCACTGTTCACCTCTGTTCAACACTGGTTCCATTCCTTTCCTAAATGAAATTGTAACTTCTGGCGAGAATTTTTTGATATTTCGGTGGGGCGGAGGGTTCAGGGGAGGGAATTGGTATGGGCCAACTTAACAGTTGACCTGGCTGCTCCCAGAGGAGCGCCAGGTACGTCTTGACCCTTCGGTGTGTGTGTGTGTGTGTGTGTGTGTGTGTGTGTGTGTGTGTGTGTGTGTGTGTGTGTGTGTCCCAATATAAATAGCTTCTCCAGATTGCTTTGATCAGCTTGTTAGTCCAGACGATTTTCACCTAGTCTGAATTAGGTTGCCACAGGCTGACTAAGGTAAAGTTTGTTTAAGTTAAAAGTTATTGGTTTGTGCTTGGTGTTATAAATGGCAGCATAATAACATACGGTTCTAAACAATACAAGTCGGATTATATGCAAAACTGGGTCGGGTTCTAAGAGACCCGTAATATGAATGTGTTCCACAAGAATGGCTTTTGAGATCCCAAGTCCTTAGTGGTATTCGGTTATTGAATTCCTCGAGTTTAACAGAGGATTACCTCACCTTTAGATCACTAGCTGCCTGTGGTTGCTTCCTGCCTCTCACCCCTCTCACTCTCTTACCTTGGTTGTCCCGTCTCCCTCTTATCTCTCACTTAGGTTATTTTATTTCCCTGTCACTCTCTCACTTTGGTTGCTTACGACAGTCCATCGTGAAGTGTGAAAGTGGGTCCCACAGGCATGACTTCCCGTTAGAGACAGTGTGGATACAGCACACTCTATACTAAGCCTTCAGTACACAAGGAGGCAGCATGACCGGTAATGCACTCGACCGCATTCACTTCCCTAAGTTGTAAACTTAGGTACTCATTTACAGCTGGGCGAACTGGGAGTGCCAGGGGATCGACCTACTGACAACGTCGTAGCTCTGTGTTATGAAAGGATGAGGTTTAACGCCGACGAGCGTTGATGCCACCTCATGTGGCTGTGTTAGACTAGGCGGGAGCCGCAGGCGGGGCAGGGTTGTTGTGGGCCAGGAAAGACATTTCCATTCCTCCTCCTGGTCAGGTTGTCCTCCAGGGCTAAAGGTTGCAACTCGTATATTTTGATTAGGTCCTTAGAGTCGTCTTTAATCCCTTTTCCGCTGGCCGCCGGCGGACCGATTGCCTTGATGGCGTTGGCCGTGTAGTATTTTGCGAGGCGGATGGTGCTCGGGCATCTTATATATATATATACCCCAGCTGGGGAACTCGGTATTTCCCGGGTCTGTTTTGAGACGTAAAGTTAACCAAAATGGGTGAAGCCACGCAGTTTATGTCTGTCCTTGGCCGAAATTAAGTGCACGCGCATAAAACGACAACACTAAATTTAGACGTTCGTAAGCATTCTTTGAGGTATCTGTACAAGTAAGCCAAATTTCAGTTTTCTATTTCAAACAAATGGCTGTACAGAGCAAAGAAACAGACAAAAAAAATTTAATGAAGGTGTTCCAACCTTTGGGGTGAGGGCCAATCACTGGGACCAACCACCTTAAATTCCATCTTCGGGACACTTCTGGGGTGCTTTGTACAGCTCCATATCAAATTCCAGCCTCTATATTAAAAACTGTAGCTGAACATAACGAAACACTCACAAACAGTAAAGAAGCAAACACACTATTGTATATATTAGATAAATAAACGTTAATAAGTAATTAATAGGTATAGTTAAATATTGTGCATTACATTTACCTGTCCGTGAAGACCAAAGTCATAATATAATCACAAGAAAGTAATCAAGGTAATGGTCACCTTAACACTCACCTGATAAAGAGGTAAATAACAAGGCCGTTGCCTACAACGCCCACCACCATCACCACCACATGGACGACCGCCAGGGCCAGTTGACTCGTGTGGGAGGGCGGGTCGTACTCCAGCCAGTGCTGGTTCACCACGCACAGCAGCGCCTTGTCCTTGATGATTGACGTCCAGGCCGAGGACATGGTGGGGAGGCCACCACAGGGCCAGCTGCTGGTACCGACATCATTTCTTGTATCATAGTAACTCCCTTTTTTTTTCATCCCGTTTTCTTCAAGGAAAGAATTATTACTATAACCATCAGTAACGTTCGTAAAGTTATCGTAACTCTTTACGTCAATGGAAGTTAAGGTGTTTGATTCATTAATTATAATTTCCTCCACACTATTAGTACAGTAGATGACCGCCTTGGGAGTAATCTGGTCTCCATGTTTGTTTATGGTGTCATTACGTCTCTGGCGGGGAGTTGTACCATCACCCGCTTTACTAACATTATACAGACCAAACGCTAGGGTGTCGGCCGTCCCAGACGCACCCCCTCGCCTCTCTTCACTAACACCGGAATCATAGGAATCGTATTTTATATCGACACCTAGCTCGCTCCCCCCGCTTTTGTCATCGTCGAAGGCTGGTCGATCGAAGGTCCTTTTGAAGAAATTTGTGAGGGAGTTCTTGGGGCTGTGGTGGGCGTCCAGGGCGTCCGGTCTGTTCTTGGTGGCTGTGGAGGCGGTCTCAATGGCCGCCCAGAGGTGCAGGATGAACATTGTGAGGCGGGAAAGAAGGACTCTGTCCGCCATCACGAGAAGTCAGGTCAGGTCAGGTCAGGGCAGACTCCAGGGGTGAGTGTCGTTGTGGCCATCCTTGAGCGCCTCGGACTCCTCCTGTACACGGGAGGATAAATGTAGTCAGTAATAACTAATAAAACCGCGATAAAACAGATCAAGTAAGGTGACTGAAAAGAATCAATAAATATGTCAAGTGAACACAACAGTAACGGCGTCTCCTCAAAATAACAAAACAAATGAAGAATATATATTTTTTTTATGGAAAGGAATATCTTACACGTGCCTCAAGTTGCCAACATAACAGTTAAGAAAAAACAAGTATATCATCTCTCAAACTTACAACACCCCGACCGTCGTTATAGACCAACAAGTATAAAATGAACCGTCTGAACTTTACCACAGAGTTAACTTTGGTCTTACAGAGATAAAACAACAAGAGGTGAATAAAAAAAATTTAAAAATAAAAGAAACCCCCACAAGAGAACGTAAACAAAACAACTTAAACATCCCACTTAAAAGAGTTTCCTTACCAAGTACTTATATGAAAAAGAAAAAAATCCCAAATACATCTGTCTAACCACAAAATTTATTCCAAAAATAAATCTTTATGGACGTGAGACTTGATGCTTTTGTAGACCTCACCAAGAGTCAAGATAAAACCTGAGAATCGGTTTATTTATTTTTTTTAAAGTTTCAGATCCTTCTTTATGGCTAGAGGGAGGGAATCTGATTCATTTATTGTCACCAAACACCATAGTTACAGTCACCATCAGGCTCGTGGGAGTGTCTTTCACCATCTTACGGGTATGTGGTGCTGTACCTAGATCACCAAGCAACAACAGAATAAATTGATGCAGAATTATTATTATTTTTTTTAGGATTTTTTTTTCATCAAATTTATGGGATTTTTTTTAGTCTTAAAAGAGAGAGAGAGAGAGAGAGAGAGAGAGAGAGAGAGAGAGAGAGAGATAATATGAGAACCTCTAAACACGAGCGTGGCTACATAAACCAGTGTATGTATGTATGTATGTATGTATGTGTGTGTGTGTGTATGTGTGTGTTACCCCTCTCATGGTCGGTGCTCTTATCGAACATGGTAACACAGACAAACAGACAGATATATTTATTTATCGTTTCTGTAGGCGTTGGAAGTAAGACCTAAAGATAAGATATTCTCCAGCAGGCAGACATGTACTACAGGGGGTGAAGATACAGGTTGACAATCCTTTATCCGAAATCCTTGGGGCCAGAGGCATTTCGGTTTTCAGAATGGTTAGGGTTTTTTTTTTTTTTTTTTTTAATTTGTGTATTAGCTCACCCGGGCATAGATCACTGACCCACATTGGGGCCTGGGGGTCTAAAATATAATAAAAATAATAATAATAATAATAATAATAATAATAATAATAATAATAATAATAATTCATAGGTCTAGGTCGTGTTTCTCACTTTTGATCTTTTTATTCATTCTTGTATTTCTTTACTGTATTATTATTTTATTATTACAGTATTATTGTTATTGTTATTATTATTAATTTTATTATTATATTTTATTATTATTATTATTATTATTATTATTATTATTATTATTATTATTATTGTAATCATTATTATTTTATTTTGGTGTATAATTATTAAAAATTTTATTTACTATGAATAATTATTATTATTATAATTATTATTACTATTACATTTTTGCCCCCCAGGCCCCGGTGTGGGTCAGTGATCTGTGCCTGGCTGGGCTAATAAAAATAAATAAAAAAAATGCCCCACAAAAAACTTTCGGTTTTCGGCATTTCGGATAAAGGGTTGTCAACCTGTAATAATGTTTAGTGTGGCAACGAAATCTAGTTTAGTGTGCTGTTGACGGTGGAAAGGAAAACCAGAAATATTTCGCAGTGTGTGTGTGTGTGTGTGTGTGTGTGTGTCAAGAAATAGATGCTAGATGTTATCAAGTGTTCAAGAATTTTGTCCTCGATCTCTCTCTCTCTCTCTCTCTCTCTCTCTCTCTCTCTCTCTCTCTCTCATCCCACAACCTCCAATTAATTTCCATCCAAAAATATTTGCCCCACATTTTTTCTTCTGGACTTATAAAAGATATATTGGCAGTGTTTATTCCTTCAACACCTGACCTGACTGATCAATATTTTCATTGACGAGGAAGGGAGTTTTTTTTTTTTCCTTTCTGTAATCATCATTGTTATTTATTTTATTCTCATGAGCTAGACATTATATTGCCTTTGCTGACTTGACTGATGGAGGCTTCTGTTGAATAGATTTTATTTTCACATAAGAGTTTACCTTGATTTTTTTTTATTCATACACATGCTAATGATGACCTAACATTTTTTTTAAAGACCAGATTTGTTTTAGTATTTTTAATTTATTTTTTTTACCCTGACGTGTTTCCTAATGAGGCGATAATGATGAAGATGGATTTTTTTCATTACTTAAAAAAAAAATTGACATATTTATTTTTCTCTTTATGGTAATATTTCCCAAGTGTGTTTCTCGTCTCAACAATTCTCTCTGCCTCTTATGCATCTCTTTTATTTAAGATTACAGTGAAACTTTATTACTTTCTACGTACTTTTAATTCTACTTTATACTTAGAGGTAACTTAAGGAACCGTGGGAAGGGGGGGAGGGTACTCCTAGTCGACCCAGCTGGGAATGGGTACATTTGGGTTGTTTAACTAAATAAAGATGCCTTAAAATGTTACTTAAGTTACTTGGATCATTTTTTTTCCTTGTCTCTACTTCCACAAAAAAAAGAAGACTAAGGCAGCAGTATCTCAAAGCTTACAGTATCTCAAGGCTTACAGTATCTCAAAGCTTACAGTATCTCAAAGCTTAGTCTCTCTCAAAGGTTCCAGTATCTCAAAGGTTACAGTCTCTTAAAGTTCCACCCTCTTAGAGATATTTTTTTTATACCTATTGTCTTAGTCCCCTTTTAACTCCTTGACAGAATAAACCAGAAAGACACACACACACACATAGAGACTCAAACAACAATATATATAAGAGGGTTTTTTTTATGGTTTACATTTAATCGATAATGGTAAATTATTATCGTGAGGCTTTATGAATGAATATAAAATCAAAATTGCGACATATCTGTATTCTCAAAAAGACCATTTTAGATAATTCTATAGTCTATTAACATGTTATGCCATATTTCACCTCCTTATCTTTCTGAACTAACTTATGAGAACCATTTATACGCTTTATCATATCTGCAGTAAGATTTAACGATACTCTTAAGTGGCTTTGAATGTGTTACAGGGATGACCGGAAAGGTGTTAGGTAAATGTGATAGACGGGGGTGGGAAGATCTGTCACTCACTCTATCTGTCTGTCTGTGTGTCTGTCTGTCGCTCTTTGGGGCTGTACTGTATAGGTACCGTAATTACAGTGTATGGAGTAGTAATCTCTCTCTCTCTCTCTCTCTCTCTCTCTCTCTCTCTCTCCACACACACACACAAACAGGCCCAGGAAATAAGATTCAGTTTCTAAGAATATTCTACGCAACGAGTTTGATTAAAAATGTTTTGTAACAAATTTTGTGAATGTCTTCCTCACCGCCACTACTACCACCACCACTACCACCACCACCACCACCACCACTACCACCACCACCACCACCACCACTACCACTACTACAACCACCACCACCACCCGATGTTATGGACAATTCTTTTAATGAGTTTGTACCAGTAACATGTAGCCAGGAATATTGTCCGATGCCAGGTGGGTCTTGACAGGTGGGTCTTGACGGGTGGGTCTTTATAGGTAGGTCTTTATAGGTGGGTCTTGACGGGTGGGTTCTTTATAAATCAGGTCTTGACAGGTGGGTCTTGACAGAGTGGAAGTCTTTATAGGTGGAGTCTTCAGGGTGAGTCTTAGCAGTCCGTCTTTAGGTAAATTCTTCTTAGGTGGGTCTTTATAGGTGCTGGGTCTTGATAGGCGGATCTTGAAAAGAGTGGAATCTTGACAGGTGGGTCTTGACAGGTGGGTCTTTATAGGTGGGTCTTGACAGGTGGGTCTTGACGGGTGGGTCTTTATAGGTAGGTCTTTATAGGTGGGTCTTGACGGGTGGGTCTTGACAGTTGGATCTTTATAGGTGGGTCTTTATAGGTGGGTCTTTTAGGCGGGTTTTGATAGGTAGGTCATGACAGTTGGGTCTTGACAGTTGGGTCTTGATGAGTGGGTATCGTAACGGGGCTGTCCCTTTGTGTGTGTGTGTGTGTGTGTGTGTGTGTGTGTGTTTGTCTATCTGTTATTAGGTCTGTTAATCAATATTTGCTTGCTAGTTAAACTCTGTGTGTCTGTCAGTTTCTGTCTCTGGGTTAGTCTGTCTGTTGTCTGTATAATGCTATCATCCTCTCTCTCTCTCTCTCTCTCTCTCTCCTTCCATTTTCTCTTCTCTCTTACCTCCCCCCTCCTCTTCTTTCTTTCCTCCACTCTATCTTCTCTCTCTCTTCCCACTTCACCTCTACTATCCCAAGGAAGGCGAGAGAGAGCGAGAGAGAGAGAGAGAGAGAGAGAGCGCACACCCCCTGAGAAGTAGTTGGTGAGGGCCTCGCTTTTTGACGTCTGGAAGTGTGTTGTGTCGTAAACGAAGACCCCCAATTGGACCGACCTGGATTCTCTTCAGGGTCGTGAGTTGAATGTTATCCCGAAGGTGCTGAAGTGGGAGAACTCATCTAGGGCTCGTTGATTTAACCCACAGCTCTCTAAGGGTTATTGTGCTGAAGGAGTTACTAACCCATAAACATTATTGTAGCGTGGATTAACTTTTACCACCTCCCATGCCCTTCCTCCCACGCCCCACCTCCCACGCCCCACCCCCCACGCCCTTCACCTCCCACGCCCTCCACCCCCAACCCTCCCTCCACTTCTGACACTCGGGACCAGCCTCAGAAAATAAAACCTTATCATCCAAGAAACTTTAGGTAAAATTGTATGATAAAGAGAGACACAACACAGCGTTCAACACACACACTTCACACACAGCACTTCACATACACACACTTAACACACACACACTTCACACACAGCCACACTTAACACACACACACCCTAACACACACACA